ATAATGCAAGATCGAAAGACTTGATCGTTGGGAAATATTCAGTTTGTAGAGTATTATAAGCATGTTTTCAAAGTTCCAATGGAAAAATTAATTTCGACTAACATTTTGAAAAGCAATCGAAAGTTTTCTTAAATGTTTGAACTTTCATATCGAATATTGCTGCCTCATAACCGCGATTTTCCCCCTTTTCCCGCATGTCCTTGAACAAAATATCCGCCGCTTCGAAAGTCCAAGTATCACGAAACTGCGGAAGTAGTTTAAGAACGGTAAACCTTTCGTGGTCGTGACCACTTGGTGATCACTTCCGTTTAAAGAAGATTCAACCGATTTTCCAGATTGACTAAGTTTTAAGATGCACAGCAAAGAGAGTTAGCCAAGCATTTCAAAAATTTATAATCTTATGTAATAACTTCTTTTAGCATTTAAAATTCCTTTGATTTTTAATTTTCCTAAACTGAGTTCATCTTTTCGTTTTATTATACTCTAACTTCACAGTTCTTTCTAAGGATTAACACACGTGTTGTCGCAACTTGGATCCTCTTTTGAAAATTGTTGTGTCTGAATTTTGAAATTTTTAGGATTTTGAATTTTAGAATTCTGATATTTTGAAATTTAAAAATTTTTATATTATGTCATTTTTTGAACTTAGAATCTCAAAATGTTAGGATTTTGAAATTCGATAATTTTGAAGATTCAATTTTGGTATTTTGAAATCTTAGAATTGCAGAATTTTGTAATTTGTAAATTTTGATAATCTGGAATTTTGGAATTCTGATATTTCGAAATTTCGAAATCTTTGAACGTCACAATATTGATATTTTGAAATTTTTTAATTTTAGCATATCAGAACTTTGATATTTAAAAATTTTTTAAGCTGAGAACTCAAAACTTTTGAATTTTTCAATTCTATAATTTTGAAGATTCACAATTCTGGAATTTTGTAATCTTGGAATTCTGTTATTTTGAGATTTAAAAATTTTAAGATTTTAGAATTATAAGGTTCTGGAATTTTGTTTTGAAATTTAGAATTTTAGAATTGCAAAATTCTGGTATTATAGAATTTTGATAATCTGGAATTCTGATATTTTGAGATGTTTGAATATTGGGACCTGAAAATTTCAGAAATGTTAATAGTAAAATGGTCAATCCTGACCTCTACTATAATAATTACGCCAATGAACACATGATGGTGAAATCTCAATTTTAATTCCTAATGGACTTTAATTGCTTTTCCCTTGGACTTTTCAACAGTAAAACGAATTCTTTCCCAATGAACATTTAGAACAGAATTCAGTCAACTGTCAATTAGATCGAGAAACTACTTTTTTGTTTAACCTGTACGCCAGTATCGTGAAATTGGAAAAAGTTAGGAAAAAGTTTTAATCGGCAAACAAATGAGTTGTCGAAAGGAAATTAAGAGAGAGAATTTTAATTTTCTCTTTTCGTTTCTATTACAGTAACACTAGTTGTTTTCCTAACAACTAACCAGTTTTTATTAAAAATATTAATTGGCGATTTATAAAGTCATTAAGCAATATGAACAAACAATCAGGCGCCTTCTTTCCAACAGCAATGGAGGCCGACTTTTTGCAGTCAGATGATCGTACGGATAATTTGAAAACGAGACGTTCATTCTGGCATCGATGTTGTGGTAATCGCAATCGCGATTACGATAACGCGGCCAACCGATAGTTTATTGGCGATTTGGCTACTGTACGATTCCATGTGGCTGATTCCCTAATTACGACATGCCAGTGATATCGCGTGGAACGGAAAATTTACAGGGCCCTCGCTTTAAGAGTTTTACAGGCTCGAAATCGTTGGAGAAATACAGTCGAATCGAGGGTGTTGGCCACTGGCCAGGCACACAGTTCATATCAAACCGGCTGGATCGCCATTTTAGAGACATTAAAGTGGCAATTGATCGACATCGAGAGCCGATATTACGCTAGATCGGGATCAGCCAGAACTTTTTGTCACGCGAAACTCGACGAAACTGCAAATACATAGATACAGCTAATAAACCTGTTTAACCTCTTCAGGGACGATTTTTTTTTTTTTGAAAAAAAAAAAATGACTTAATATTCATTTTATATTGATAGGAATTCAAAAATCAAAAATGGGGAAAACAATAAAGATGCGCAAAACCATAACGTCCACATTTGTGGCCGCTGAGCGTTAATAGTAATTTAAAAGTGAAATCATTTCATACAAACTAAATGTCCACATATGTGGCCAAGGTCGTCAAGAGGTAAAATGAATGATTGGCAAAAAACGAAACGTGTCAAAAATCAGGTATTTCGAGTAGAGATGATCGAGTAAATATAGCTAGTAGTATCTTTTTTTTTTGCTAATACCACTGTCTGATTTCCTTTTGTATATGCTATTTTTGAACATGAAGGTCAGCATGATAATATAATTGGGAAAGTGTGGGATCATTTTTTTTGTAAGGCTAAATTTTAATTAGAATAGCTGAACTTTTCTTTGAACCAGACAAAATTATTCATTTCCATCTTTTTATTTTAAAAATATTTAAACTGAGCAGTTTTAAAATTAAATTGTAATTAAACAGTATTAAGCACTTTACGCCATCCCGGAAAAGGCCCTAGTTATAATCAAATTATAATAACCTGGGTATAAGTTGTAAGTATTATGAAGACTCTGGGCATGTTTGTTCCAAGTGGAAACATGGCGCAATTTTCTAATAAAATTTTATTATTTATTTCATGACCACGCTCATTTTTAAGTAGACTAACAGCCATATATATTTTTTTCAACTCGTCATAAAAATTCATGCAATAGAAGGATAAGATAAACTACAGGATGCATTCGAGGTTCACAAAGTAATGGAATGCATAGCGACATTCATGATCAAAAAGATGACAGGATAAACGGCTATACGGCCGAGTAGACCGAAATACAAAATACCCCATGCATTCTGCATCCGTCCATTTCATTTGAAACCCAATTTCAAGCAAACCAGCGGAACCAGTGAGCATCCTCTGACATTCTCTCTCAGTGTATGCCATTGTACGTTACGTCCCGCAAGCATTCTACGCATCCCTCTCCTGAATTCTAATTACAGCCCGTTAATTAGCTGCGGACCGACCCTTACGTTGATTACGAATCGAAAGTCCTTCTGCAGGATTTTGTTCTTGCTTTCATTCGCAACGTTGCACTGACTTTGAGAGAAGAACGGATTTACCGGTGATCAGAAAAATTTTATCATGAATAAATACCACTGATACTGGATTCTTTTATTGCATTGAACTGGCCAAAATAGTTGACAGCGAAATATAGTGAAATATTGTGGCACAAGGTGCATTTTAAATTGTTTAATAAAATTACCTATGTTTAAAGAAGAAAATTAATGTCCCTTATTGCTAAGGATAATGGGCATTTTTATATATGTTTTCGGCTATACATGAACAAAAATGAGTAGTAGTCTATAATGTTTAAAAAATTGTATTGGATCTTATGAAGCATGGGGGAAGTTTGTTATGAACGATTTTCTTTTTTAATGTCTTTGGTCATAATGAATTGTAAGAATAAATAGCTCGCTAAGAAAAGAGTCAGATATCATTTCAATTTATATATTGAGAATTTATTAGATTGTGTAATAAATTCCCGCGTATTTTGTATTTTATTTTTTCCTCGCAATTCTGTGTTTTGTTAGGTAAATTATATATATGCATTCGCAAGTCTTTCTCTTGCTCTACAAATCTATCTGTTTCAATTTTGCGGATTAATTAATTTTAATCAATTTTCAGGCTTTTGAAATGGAAGTTCCAGGAGGCAAAAAAATTCATTTTCGAAAGCATTTACGAAAGCAACTCGCGACATTGTGACAAATGTCGCTTTTTGACCACGACGAAAGCCGAAATAGAGCAGATGTAGAAAATGAATTTTTTTGCCTCCTGGAACTTCCATTTCAAAAGCCTGAAAATTGATTAATATTAATTAATCCGAAAAATTGAAGCAGATAGGTTTGTAGAGCAAGAAAAAGACTTGCGAATGCATATATATACTTTACCTAACAAAACACAAAATTGCGGGAAAAAAATAAAATACAAAATACGCGGGAATTTATTACAAAATCTAATATTTAAAAATATATATATTTTTCAAAAATAATAATTATAAAATAATCTTAATCGAATACAAAAGAAATAATAAGATATTTTACAATCGAATATTTATTGAAATTCGTCGCTATTATATAATTAATATATGATTCAGTTAACCGGCTGGGATCGATACACAAACTATAAACAATATAGTTAAACTATTGATGTATAAACAATCACACGACGGAGCTGACGCACACTTACAAGCATACATGTTGCCCGCTCACATCACACATACGCGATGCCCAGAGATAACAACTGGCGACAAAAGTCACATATGGGTGTTGCGCAAGTGTCAATTTGAGAAGACCACGTGGAAAATCTTTGAAAAATTCAATTCAAGATGTTTTAATCAGTTAACAGTAACAAAAAAGAAAAAAGAAAAAAATTACATTTTCACAAACTTCCATGTTTTTTTAAACATAAAATCGATTAAATGGTGTTTAGAACAATGATTTCAAACTTAGGATTTCAGTCCCGTTAGTGTCCGCTCATAGCCGAAATGCCCATTTCCCTTTCGACGTTACTTCTTGATCAAGAGGTATTCAAGTTTTTATTTTACTAAACGATTTCAGGGGTTTTTCTACTTCAAAGAATGGTGTCTTTTTCTTTTCCGTAAGGAAGACCTCTCGACTAGGAAAATAGACAAAGATAGGGCAGAGAATAGAGAGTGAGAAGGGCGAGGAAATAAAACTCGATATAAGATCACGCTCTAAAAATGGATATCGGCGATTACCTAGACTCGTCATGGAATACAGAGCGGTCTAATTGTTCTCTCGTCGGTGGCTCCCGAGGAGATTTCCCCAGAGTGATCGACTCCTCCGTCTCGAGCATAAAAGTTCTGCCGATAATTCTGGAACTTTACCGAGCGGAAATGGTAAAGAAAGGGTTCGATGATTCTGATGAAACTAAAAAAAAACTAAAAACCCATTGGGTTGTAACATATATTCGTCCCGTTTCACCGGTTGCCGGTGAAAATATCATTTTTCAAATCCGTTAACAGCTTAAATGCAGATAAATATCGTATACCATTTGAAATGTGAGATTTCAGAGTTTATTTCGAAAGAATTTCTTTTGCGGTTGGTAAATTCTAGTGTTTTTTGTGTGCGCCTAGGGATGTGCATGCATTCGGGTAGCCGGACTATTTCGGGTACTTTGTATAGGTACCTACATTTTGTAAGTTTGGATTACGAATTACTCAGGCTCCGCTGTTCAAAGGTTAAACAAAACAATAATATCTATCCAAGAATGATTGGATATTGGAAAGTATGTTACCCGTCGTAATACTTGATATACAATCATCGTTACAAGTGTCAATGCTGCGTACGTGTTAATACCTTGATGTCTCATATCCGCAGTTTCTACTCGGTTATCAGAAAATTGTAGATATCTGTTATCGAATTGATAAGTATTGTAAAATCAAGTTGAGTTCTCTATAGTCTGTAGTCAGTTTTCCATTAAATCGCAACGCGTTGTGTCCGTGCCGTTGATTCAAATTTTTGCTCAATATGAACTCTTCACCTGGAACTTCCAACGGTGATACCAAAGTGAAAGCCGAAGTAGGGCATCGGTATAAGGATAGTTATTTAAAACACGGATTTTGGCATGATGGACCCGAAAATAAACCGCATCCCAAGTGTCTTGTATGCGGCACAAAATTTGACAACAAAAATATGAGGGCACTAATACTGAAAGATCACTTTGATCAAAACCACCGTGACACAGTTCTAGTGGATTACTTTACACAACTAAGGGATCAACAAATAAAGCAAGTAGGAAGTTATAATGTGTCGAATAATAATGTGTTGAATAAGAATGTATCGAATAATCATGTGTCGAGGAATACTGTGTTGAATCATCTTCACGAGGCGAATGATGAAGTTGCGAATTACGAACAGCTAAATTGTAAAGTGGTTGAATTGATTGTGAAGAACATGCAACTAATAGACATGCATAGAGCAGTACAATATCTAATTTTACCTGCTTGCGAAGAAGTTAATCTTGTGTCACATTCCTATTCAGAGGGTACAGAATCAAATGTATCCTTATCGCACAACAGTATTTCTGGCTACATAAAAAATATACTTCGCGATATTCGGCAACAATTAATCGCAAAATTAGTTGGTAAAAAATTTTCACTATTACTCGATGTACATCACGAACGTCATTTGATGAGCTGTGTAAGATTTGTGGATGAACATTCTATCGTAGAGCATTTTTTATCTTACATCGACTTAACAGAAAAAGTTACTGATTCAGATATATATAATTCTATACAAGACATGTTGAGAACAAATGAATTAGAATTTCAACATTGTGTTTCAATATTCGTTGCTAGTATGGATGAAAATAAAAACAAATTGTTTGTTGACTACCTGCAGGAAAAGTTACCTAATAAAACAATCAAATGTTGGTATGATCGAACTGTTTTGATAACACAAACACTTTCCGAACCTCTAAAAGATGTAATGATCACAGTAGATAAGATGATTAAAGTCATTATATGTAGTTCAATTGGGCGCCAAATTAGCAAGGTTATGTATCAGAAAATGGGGAGTCGTCACAAATCGCTGCTCTTTGGCACTAAGTGCTGGATGTTCAGAAGCCAAGCACTCCGCGCAGTTTACGATCAAAAGGAGGCGTTATTAGATTTTCTTACTAAAAAGAGATTGAATGTCTATGCTGGTAAGATTAGAGACCAAGAGTGGTGGACAAAATTTGCATACCTCGCTGATATATCCCAAATAGTGATCGACCTTATCAAAAGTATGCAGGATGCCGAATCATACTTCTTTACGTCGATTGATAAAGTGGAGGCATTCAGGGCTAACATTAATAGATGGATAGAAGATGTTAAAAATAGAAACTTCAGTAAGTTTCAACTCGCAAATAGGAACGATCCTGAATGTATTTCTTCTTCAATTTCAGAACATCTTTCTGCTTTGAAGGATAAAGTATCGCAATACTTTCCTCTTGACAACGCGAATGAATACAATTGGATCCGAAATCCCTTTGCTCTGAAGGATGAAGAGAGAAATCATCTATCGCCACCGAAACAAGAAATGTTGGTAATTTTATCACATAATCGTGAATACCAGCTAATCTATAGAGATAGGCGCAACCTACTCACATTTTGGATTATGGCAAAAGACGCGTATCCGGAGTTAGCGGATGATGCCTTATCTATATTACTACAGTTTTCATCCAGTTACATGATAGACGAAGGACGTTCTGCATTATACGCCGTTACATTTTATAAAGAAGAACGATTACTTTCAGTTGAAGAGGAATTGCTGTTGCATTTGTCTACGATTCGACCTGAATTTCGGAAACGAATAGTTCTCGATGATCAATCCACCAATTGATAGATATCATATTTTTATAATTTCTTTCTTCCTTTTGTACTAGTGGATAAATCTCGCTGAAAATAAAAAAAATACATGCCTTACGAATGTGTAAAGTTCATTTTGTGACCGGTGAACGTGAAATGTATTCTCAATATGACAGCCAAATGATTTCGTAACCGCCACTATGAAACTCTTATAGATTTTTGCGAGCTGGATACGAATCTGAAATCCATTTCTCTCTAAGTCGTAGAGATTTTCAGAAAATTAATGTTAAAGAAAATTGCAAATTTTCAACGTTGGAGATGTTTCGTGCTTTCACCATAGCTGCTATTCAGATGGTTTTTACAAGAGAGAAATCTGTGAACTTTCCCGAATAAAACGATATAAATTGTTATTATATTGTAAACATATAAATATGTTTAAATAATGATCAAAGTGAGAAAGTCACCAAAAACGCACCAATTTTTGCTGATATTTTTCAATTTATTTCAAAAACTAAGGGACTAGGCGAAAATCTAACCATCGTACGTGATAGAGCAGACATTTCTGCTACAGAAAGCACGAAGCGAACTTATACGCGTTATCAGTTATCAATGTGTTAATGTCGATAGAAGGTTGATAGATTAGATTAGATCAGAACAATGTCACGACCGCCATCAGGTAATTGATCGTGCATGTTCAAGTTCAAAACCATTGATATCATATATTGGTTTATAACCACCGTCGTCAAGCTGCCGTCCTTGACGGGCAAGATTGAAAAAAGTTAGTAAATCGCACGGTTACCATGTATGTTTTCTGATACCTTGAAAGCTAAATGAGTGCCGTGTTAATAACGTTTTTCAAAACACCGACCTTGAAAACATGTTTCATGGAATAATTACCATCTTGTTTCAACAATTATTTTTCGAACTTATTCTTGTTTCAATCAATATTTTTTAATTGTTATTACCCTTCTAATATCGGGTGTGCTATAATATCGAGTCACACTAGTGACGCCACTTACAGTTCAAATTTATCAAATTTGAGTGATACCATTAATAAGGTTGAATTCTGAGTTGAATTCTAATTACAATTTGCCCAGTCAAGGATCGTTGAATGCCACGTATGGATGATATTTCAAGTTTCTTTATTTGATTTACAATTCAAGCAATGACGATGAGATTATTTTTTATTTTTTTTTCATTGAAACATTTACTAATGTAGTTGTAAGGTTTTTCTGATTAAAACAAGACCAAACACGAAAGGAGATGAAAAAGGGGAAAAATCTTCAGATCACTTTTACGTGTTAAACAGGTGAAAGAGAATCACTCGTTAAATACGCAAATATACTTGAAATTATATCGTGTTTGGTCTTATTTTAATTCGAAGGACCTTACAATAACATTGATCAAAGTTTCATTTAGCAAAAATAAAAAATAAAAAAGTTTTATTGTATAATCTGTATTATCTCAGCAATATATTTATCTTGCTTCCTTCGATTCCCAGACCTCTTTCTCCTTCACCCTCTGCTATTTTCAAATACTCAACTCGAGCTGTTTTTAATTGTAAGAACCGAAAAGACATCTCCACTTCGTAACTGCCCGATATCGGTCCCGATTTTCGGCTAGTTATCCAACCTTTCCTGTGCTGACACTTACCCCATCATAGCCTATGAAAATAATATACTTTTACTTCTCCGCCCTCTGCAAATGAAGACTAGGATGCTTGAAAAATTTTCCACTTCTACAGCCTCGTCTGTGGCAATGTAACAAGAGTCTACCGTGTCCACCGAGTTTCGTCAAAATCGAGGAGGGGCACTTTGGTATGTTTCCTTATGAGATAAGGCGATGCTGTAAATTAAATTGGGTAAAGGATCGATCGCCCTCGCTTGGTTCCCTTTGAGTTACCCTTCGACGCATAGTCCTTCTTCAAAAAGACAAGGCTACCTTCGTATTGCCCCATATACAATCGAATTGAAGTAAATTTCCACTAACGCAAAATCTGCACCAGTGATCCCGATATAGAATCACTCTCACCAGCTCGATTATCAACGTTTCGCAATGACAGCGGAAGCAGATAAGTTATCGGTACCCTCCGCTCATACTGGCATCGCTATCAAACAATGATATTTTACACAATGTCGTCGGCTGAGCGAATCGACTGCGCTCGCGGCTCCCTCCGGCCCCATGCGGAAACTCCGCTGCGAATCATCCGGTACGCTATACCCGTAGCCCGGAAGTTGCATCCGTTATTAAACAATTTCGTTGCATTCAGTTGCATGCACGCGCCGTTTTTTTTCGAATCGACGATACCTGTGTATCGTTTCACCTGCATCGCTATGGCCTACGTACACTCGTTTCGTGTATGTTTCCTTTCAACTTTACCACGCAACAACAATAGCGACGGTATTTTCATTTTGAGATACAACCGAACTACATCCTGTTGTACAACGGGTCATTCATGAATCCCGAAGTCTAATTGTTAAAGGTATGAAATAAGTACTGCTTCATTGCGTTTCAATTATCGCGGATGAAAGACATACATACATGAAACCGCGGATAATACCGAACGCTATATAAATACGATAAAATTTAATGAATTAATTAAATTTTAACGTATGATAATACTATCGTTAATTTAACCATTGAACAGCCGAGTTGAGTCAATCGAAACGTATAAAATGTATAATAAAAAAATATTAACCTAAAATTGAATGTATAATTATTAAACGAAAGAGTTTCATATATTGGAAGATCATTGTTTAAATGAGCCTAGCAGGGTTGAAAACCCGCTCTGCCGACCCAAGTTCACGCTTATACCGACGGTGTTCAAGGGCGCAATTGCGCTAAAATAACATCCATTCCCCAGCAGTCACAACCCTCCAAGGGTAGATATTTAGGGTGTTACCTGTAACGTTACTCACGATTTTTCTCCCACTTGCAGCCATCTGACAAAAAAAAGTTTAGAACAAGAGTTGCTGGGTATGAAGTGCACAATAGATATTAGTAAAAAAAAATTTCGAAAACAGTTTGTTTTCATGGCGAAGTCGAGGTCACCTTGGGTTTTATAGATAGGACTATATATTTCTTTTGTTTACCATATTTAGAGGACATCGAGACGAATTCAAAACACATATTACACGACATTTTTACTAACATATTACTTGATTTACAGAAGTGGAAATGTGAAATATTTAGCTTTTCGACGAAATAACAATTGCGACGAAGCAACATTCCGTGTTTACATTCAGTAACCTCTTCGGGGTCAAATAATATTTACACTGTCAAGGTGAAATACGACGAAAAGCTAAATATTTCACATTTCCATTTCTGTAAATCAAGTAATATGTTAGTAAAAATATCATGTAATAGTATGTGCACTCTTGTAAGTATCTCTTACTTTTACTAACTTGTCATTTCACTATTTATTATTGCATATCATAATTAAAACACAAATACTGCAAATATCCTTTGGTATACTTAATACTCTGATTATTATAGTATAATTTATCGGTTTTGCTTTTTTAAAACTCACAAAATAAACCAACGTTTTCACTTGAAGAAGCACCCTTGAATGGTGGACCACGTAGAGAGCCCCAATTTTAATTCAGTTTTGTATTTCTTTTTCAAAATTTTACACTGTTCGTTCGAAAATTATTCTTTCAATATATGAAATCCTTTCATTTAAATATTATACATTTAAGTTTAGGTTAATACCTTTGTATAGGTACCTACATTTTGAAAGTTTGGATTACGAATGACTCAGGCTCCGCTGTTCAAAGGTTAAACAAAACAATAATATCTATCCAGGAATGATTGGATATTGGAAAGTATGTTACCCGTCGTAATACTTGATATACAATCATCGTTACAAGTGTCAATGCTGCGTACGTGTTAATACCTTGATGTCTCATATCCGCAGTTTCTACTCGGTTATCAGAAAATTGTAGATATCTGTTATCGAATTGATAATTATTGTAAAATCAAGTTGAGTTCTCTATAGTCTGTAGTTAGCTTTCCATTAAATCGCAACGCGTTGTGTCCGTGCCGTTGATTCAAATTTTTGCTCAATATGGACTCTTCACCTAGAACTTCCAACACTAATATCGGAGTGAAAGACGAAGTAGTGCGTCTGTATAAGGATCTTTATTTTAAACACGAATTTGTGTCTGTTGGACCCAAAAATAAACCGCGTCTCAAATGTCTTATATGCAACAATAAATTTGACAACGAAGATATGAAGTCAGCAACACTGAAACGTCACTTTGATCGAAACCACCGTGACGCAATTCTACTGGATTACTTTACACAACTAGAGAATCAAAAAATAAAGCAAGTAGGAAGTTGTAATGTGTCGAATGATACAGTGGCAAATGATAAAGTTGCGAATTATGAACAGAATAACCATAAGAACATGCAACCAACAGCCAAACATAGACCAGCACCATATCCAGTTTCACCTGCCGGCCGAAAAGTTAAATCTGTGTCATGTTCCTATTCAAAGGGTACAGTGTCGAATGTACCCCCATCGTATGGTAGCATTTCCTATATTCGACAACAGTTAAAGAAAAAATTATGTGGTGCAAAATTTTCACTTCTACTGGATATACATCACAGATGTCATTTGATGAGCTATGTAAGATTTGTAGATGGAGATTCTATTGTAGAGCATTTTTTATCTTACATCGACTTAACAACAAGACCTACTGAATCAGATATATGTAACCCTATACCACGCATGTTGGAACAATTTGGATTACAATTTCAAAATTGTGTTTCAATATTCATTGCTAGTGAGGACAAAAATAAAAACAAATCGTTTGTTGACTACCTGCAGGAAAAGTTACCTAATAAAACAATCAAATGTTGGTTTGATCGAACCGTTTTGATAACACAACACACTTCCCGAATCTCTAAAATATGTAATGATCACAGTAGATAAGATGATTAAATCCATTATACACAGTCCATTTGGGTACAAAATTAGCGAGTTTATGTGTCAGGTAATGGGGAGTCGTCACAAAGCGCTGCTCTTTTGCTCTAAGAATTGGATGTTCAGAAGCAAAGCGCTCCGCAAATTTTACGATCAAAAGGACCAGTTATCATATATTTTTAATATAACG